ATCTCAAAAGCTCTTTGTCCCTGAACTACTGTTGCGTAACACTTAATGTGCTCTAAGCCCTGATCCCGTCAAGAGCAAGATTAAGATTTTATTGCTGACAGTCCCTGTAGCGGATTCCAATAATATATAATCAGCTATCACTGACCAGCAGGCAGGCTCTTAAAGTGAGTCACTTTCTATCAGCTATGCTCTCCTCCCATGAGCACATCCGGTTGTAGTCTCGAGAGGCCTTCAAATGTTCTCCTAGCAGTTTATTTGTGAAGCGGACAAAAAACAGCTTTTCACTTAATTTGTAGAATATATTTTTTTGCTTGCACTCCATTGAAAAACAAAGAAAACAAAATCCGCACTGTAATTTACAGACATGACACTTGAAGTTTTGTACTCTTTCGGTACAGAGAGGAAGATTAACTGTTTGTCCTGAAACAACCTGCATCTTTTCCCCTTCAGCCCCAGGGCTGCTCAGCTCATAATTCTGAACAGAACTGGTCACTAGTTACAATATTCCACTCAGCCGCCACTCGGCCCCAGCCACGTAAATATTCATGTCGTCCAATAACCAAAACGAATTATGATTAATTGATTAATTTATGCTAGATTGATTCATATTGCGACTGCCAAGTTCAATGTCTTTACTGAGCACAAGTCATATTTTGGGAAGAGTATATTTGAGCTCTGGTTTCCTTCCACATCGAAAAACACGCTGGCTGGCTGTAGAAGACTGGCATCCTGTGCAGGTGTAGCCCTGCCTTGTGCCCTGTGTCTCCAGGACAGGCTGCAGGCTGCCATGAGCCTTAACAGGAACAATGTGGCTTTCTGATAATGCATGGCAAGGATACATTATTATGTAGCTGTTTGGTCTGCACAAATATCATAACCCTCTGGGTTCTTTTTACTGCATATACAAAAGAACATGAGGCAGGCAACGAGAGGAGAAGGAGAGGTTAAAGACTCTCTTATTGGTGCATGGTGACATGTTCAACTATACACTGATCTGTTCCTCAGCAGGAAAACCCTGTGCTCTGTCATGACACAGGTATTACACCATTTTACAAAGGCTTTGGTTTAGAGAGGGTAAGAAAAAAAAAAGAAGAGAAGCACTCAAACCTACTTTCCTGCTACCGTTTTCTTCCAGATTTTTATTCAGAGCTCAATGTAAGGACGGGCCATTTTGGTTTAAAAGCAAGCACAAATGATCGTAAATGTCTGCTTTCTGCACATCAGCTGCTGCAGATTCCAGATGAGTCACAGAAAAGCCTTGTGATACATCTCACTGTTTGATTAATAGGACAGGCACAGACAGACCAGTGTTGTGGTGTGTTTTAAACACAGCAGAAAAAGCCTTTAGTCTAATAACAAAGCTGAACATTTATTTCCTTCATCTTAATGTATTTCCCACTAGTCTACGTCAGTATGATAATTGAGTAAAAATTAATTAAAAAGCCAGGTTAGCAGGCTTTCTCTTATTCTTTTTAACTTCACAAACATTACCACAGTCTTTATAGGAAACACTGTAATAGCTGGTGGGTAATAATACAGAATGTTGTACAAATGGCAAGATATATAATAAACCTGTGAGCTGCGGTAGGATTTGAAATTGGAAATGGACCTGTGGAGACTGCAGAATTCTTGAAAACCATTTAGATCAAAAACAAGATGCCAAACAAAACACTCATGATTTTAGGACTGTCCTATAATGCAAAACATGCTTTTCACACACAACATGTTGGATGATGATCTGATAGACACTCTGTTAGTAGCTTTCAAAGGAAGAAAATCCCTTTCAGAGCATCTGGGTTAGCAAGGCAGCACAAAGATCTAATCTAGCATTATTTCAGGCTGGAAGTGAATGTGAGAAGGAGATGATATGTAAAAAGACCTGGAAGTGCCATGGAGTTCCAACCCCTTGTGGGTGAAGGAATGGGAAGAAGAAAGAAACTTAAGTCAGTACAGTGGGCACTCATCTAAATGGTATCTTACAGAACTAACAGAAAAACAGTTCTGCCGGTAGTTTCCATATTCAAACAACATCTCTTTGGGCCAGAGCTTATTCTGGTTGTGATTTTGGGGTGTCAAGCAGATGAGAGAGCACAAGTTCCCCAACTATTTACAGCTGGGTAAACTGGAGTGATTGGGGCACAGTACCTCACTCAAAGTACAATAGCAAGACTGCAGTGGAGACCTGATCCACAACACACTTAGGAGGTAAGACTTACCTACTGTACTATATTGCCTCCAATGAGCATATTAAGCACTCCGAAATTCCATCTGTTGAGCATAACTAGGAATTATCTCTAAAAACGTCACCTATTCGTCAACAGCAAACTACAGATCTAGCGTTCAATAGGTGCTTATTATTTGTTTATTTGCCAAAAGGCTTCATGCTTAAACCTAAGTGCAACCCTTCTTCCAGATTGTTATAAGCCAGGTTTGCAATGTAGAAGATGGATCTCATCTTTAATTGAAAAAAGGGCCTAGACAGCAAGGTTGTCATCAGCACAAACCTTTAGAAAACATGGGAATGATGAACCCTAATCTAACTATGGATTTAACTCAGATATTATTGCAGCTCATTTCGCATCTCGCAACCTCATGAAACTTTGTTGATCTGCACCGAGCCTGCCATTTGAATTATAGATAGGTGGATGGGGCTAGTGACTGAACCCGTGTCAGCACCAGGGCCCCAGGTGTGAGAGATTACATATGAGGGCTGTATTAATGAGGGTAGTCAATGGCAGTTCCTCCAGGTGACCCCAGTCAGGAATGTCACTGTGTTAAAGACTGCAAAAAGACACTGCTGCATCTGTGTTTTAGCAAAAAAAAAAGGCTTTAAAAAAGAAGCTGGAGAAATGTTAGTGTTCTATATATTTGCTCCTTCTTTAGCAATGTTTTCATTCTCATGTACTTTATATTTTAAAATTGGGTGATTTAAAAAACCCAGATTCGCACACCTAGTTATGGGATTATTCTTTTAGAAACAGGTAAAGCACAGATTATCATTTAAGATTTCAATATGTAAATCAAAGCATTTATTTCAGAATACTCAAACCACAGGTCAATAGGAAGAAAGAGAGAGATTACTATAAGTCTTCTATTCTTCATTGTTTTGCCATAACAGTTGTTTTGTACAGAAAGCTAAAGTGTACCCAAAACTACACAATAACATAAAGTGCTGTCAAGACAGGAAATACAAGGAAAACTTAAATCTTATGAATGTCATTTCCGTGCAATGGACAGTGACATTTCATACGTTATAATGTCTCTTTACAATGGAGACTGAACAACAAGGGAGTAATTCTCACCTATGCTGAAACCCCACTGTCCTTGGGCAGCACTAATTCAATACCTCCAGTATTAGCAGCCTCTGCAACAGGGATGAGGAGCCTGTTTTACTCTCTTTCCAAAAGGCAGCTCATGTGTTCTGACATCCTAGTAAGCGATGGACCAATGGCTCTTGCCTTGTACTAACTAGTCTACTCGAAGCAGACAGTGGCACCCAGTCTCCATCGGAGTGATTCACACACAAGTTATTAGCTACCTCTAGGGTTCAAGTGATCACATCAAAATGTATTTTTTCACGTACGTCAACTCTCAAGTTAGAAATTATACATGTAAACTGTTTAATCAGATCAATCAACGTCTGACAACTACAGCTGCCACACAGATTTAGAGTTAGACAATAAGGGGACAGTAGATACCAATATATGTGCTAATATTATCTTCACTGATGTTAACACCACAGAACGTCAAGGCTATTAACACCAGAAAACATGCTAGCTCTTTGACACAGTAGAAGCATTTAATCTTGTAACGGACTGAATGTCAGTTTTAGGGACGTATCTGGCAGGATATATTGTAGCAATCAAAAGTTTAAAAAGTGACAATTAACAACCAACACCTTCGTGCAAACTCTTGTGTGGGATGGCATACAGGATTCACAAAATATAGAAAAGCTGATCACACATGATTCAAAATTCCAAAAGGTAAGCACAATTATTTACTGTGTTTGTGGACTAGGAGCCTGGGGGGTTTTAGCGTCAAAAAAGGTGAGATGTTATATTACAGGGCCTGGAATTTATCTGGGTCCTGAAAATAAAAAACAATGAAAATTTAACCGTAATTAGAAAACAACTGTCTGATCTTTCTGTGAAAGGTATTATCAGGTTTCCAATGAGAGTGAGTGATACAGAGTTTCTGTGAGACATCTGCCATGGACAGCTCCACTCTTTTATTCTGAAATTCTGCCAGATTTAGAAAATTTAGAGAGAAAGTCAGAAGGGGAATAAGGAATGCCTCAGATAAAAGCTGCATACTCCAGTTCTGTGCCTCACGAGTATATTTCTGAAGCTCTCTCCATCAGTCTATATCTCAGATTTGTGACATGAAAAAACAATTTATTTCTTAGTTTGTTTTATATTTTCAAATGTTACAATCTGCTTCTGTTGATTACAATCACAGTGCAATGAGAGCTAACACTGCTCCTAGCTGGGCCAAAGAACAAGCAAAAAGGCTGCGAGAAACAGGACTTGTGTCTGCTAATTAGCGAGAAACTAATGGATCTTAAGAAACAATTAGAAACTTTAAGTAAAATACTTTTTTGTAATGTGTTTCCATCAAGTATTGTTACTTCAAATGTATCAATGCTTCTCAGAGACACTATATGCAAAACAGTACATATGTAATTTGAACTTAACAGAATAATTCTTACAGTATTTCTCTTATTTTCTGGAATTGTTTTGAAATATCACAGTAAATTTTATCCTTTTCTTGCTATGCTCTCTACAGTATCCAATGTCTCTCAGCACATGTGGTGTACCCACACCTTAGTTATGACCACTGTATTTTGAAAAACCAACATCCCAGAGGAGGGCTGTATTAAATTTTTATTAGCCTGTTCTTTCTATATGTTAAATCAAAGACATCACGCTGCTCGGTTGCAAAGAGGAACCAGAGGGGTTTTTTAAAGAAGAGGGGCTCAGAGAAATAAGGCGCGGAATAGACTGTGCTCTCGTCAGTGGGGAAAAAACGAGACTGCGGAGCACTGCAAATTTCTTTCCTCTACCCAGCCAAAAAAGACAGAAAACAAAAAGCAATTAAATTAGAAAAATAAATTAAAAATGTCTATCAAACTGCTGACAAGTGCAATTCCCTAGTGTTGCTACAGTACTACTTTCAGTGCTGAAAGAAGAGATGAATATACAATGTCATCTAGAAATTTATGCCAGGAAGGAGAGGAAGCCTCAGACACTCAAATCCGTCTCACTCCCCGCACTTAGATTTTTTTTAAATCATAACATTTAAACACATGATCATTGGATTGTATTCTTCAGTAACAGGAAACAAAATGAGTAAATCTGGCAATGAGCAGCTGGGCTCATCAGCGTGACTCCCCAAAATTTAGTTTTACTGAGGTTTACTTATCTATTTATGTAAGTGGATGGCGTTTCCTTTGTTAAATGTTTTCGGATCACAACTCTGGCGGGGAGGTGGCTCTCAAATTGATTCCTCCTGGCTCTAAAACACAGAAGAAGTACATGTCCTACCATAGGAGGAAGCAATGGCTGTTAGTTTTTAAAGATTTTTGTTTCCGGTTTGACGTTTGTTTAGGAGTGTGCAGCGGCGTTTGGGAGCTGCCTTCCCTTTTTCGCCGCCTAGTGGCGGAGCGCACTCACTGCAGGCCTCACGCACCACAGACTACTGGATTTGGCAGGCGGCAGAGGAAGTGGCCTGGCAGCACATGCAAGTGGGGTTGACCGATTTCGGAGGGATGAGGTCAAGGTCCTCGTCATCAGGGATCTCGTCCAACCTGTAGCCATCTTTCAGCAGCTGGATGTTCAAGTCTTGGTTGATCTGCTGCAGAGGAAGAGAGACCGGTTAGAGTATAAGCAATCAACAACACAAAACAAATAAATATTTTCTGCATTTAAATAACGTCCAAACTAGGTGCTGCATTCACATTAAAAATCCTACTCAGATGCAGTTTGGAGACAGATGCATAGAAATACACTGTTGCATTAATTAGACATGCAGGGATCATACTGTGTAAAAATACTCTTTAGTTTAGGTTTTATGGGTGGCAGACATGTCCACTTGAAAGGCAGAACCATAACCTGGAGAATACATGGCACAACAATTTTACGGTGTGGTGGCTCTGTGGCTCAGGATCTGTGGCTAGAAGGTTGCCGGTTCGTATCCCGAGGCCGGAAGAGGAATCCTACTCCGTTGGGCCCCTGAGCAAGGCCCTTAACCCCAGCTGCTCCAGGGGTGCCGTATAAATGGCTGACCTGCGCTCTGACCCCAAGCTTCTCTACTTGTCTGTGTGTCTCATGGAAAGCAAGCTGGGGTATTCAAGAAATTGTATATGACCAATAATGTGATTACTGTTGTCACATATTTTTGTCACACTTTATCTTTTCATGGATGCCGGTGCAGACTTGGCAGAGAACATCTATTAATTCTCCTGCATGTCACCTTTCCTGTCCATAAACTGAGCAGGACTTATGATGTGCTTTTTTCTGGATTTGCTTCACTTGTGCTGCCACTGTTGCAATCCAATTTTGCCTGCCAAAGCAGAGAACTTGTGTTTTATGTTTGACAGTGATGACTGCATGAAGTTAGTGACCTCTTTGGCCAAAATCACTGTCAATGCTGAGCAACATCAAAGCTTGCCAACAGCTGTGCTACAACATCTCTCCCTGTTATAAGTTTTCTACAGTGTTTTGATTGTGTTAGAAAAACTCTGGAATATCTTTAGGAATATTAACTGTACACAGCTGAAGCGCACTGACAAACATCTAGGACACAGATACTGTAGCATTATGCCTTACGTTAACAACACGTATCTCTAACAATAATGACCAGCACTTGTTTTTCGCAAGAAACTGAAAATGTATGAAAGGGTTAATGCTGTAATTGCAGAATACTAATGTGTTGTATAGTATTAGGGTGCTCTATATATTCTGTTATTTTAGCATTTTGCAGAATGTAAGCTCCTATACTACCTTATGTAAAATACTGAACATTAGATTTTTAATTTATAACATATTTAATGAAACGATATGTAATATAGTGGCTCTCACCTCAGCAGAGGAGTATCCTGATGAAGAGTATCTGGACATGTCAAAGTCATCGTCACTGCAGGGGAACAGAAGGTCAATTAAGGAAGCTCGGAACAACACGTACAGCCTCACAGAACCAGCAGAAATAGCAACAAGAAATTGTTGTCCAAAACAGAAAAGCAAAAAAAAAACAGTTCTACATCACTTCCAATGAGAAATAAAAGGAATGATAAGGGGAGATAAAAAGAACAGAAAGAACTAAAACTCATTCAATACACACATCAAAATCAATATGCAGCAGTCCATTTGGGAAAGCAAAGTCAGACAATTTATATGTGTGATCTGGAGCAGATGTTTTGGGTTACTGTCATTGGCTTTTTCTTCTATAGAACCAGATGAGGGGTTTATTTAAACGTGTACCACAATGTAAAACCACAATTTGAAGTACCACAATTTAAAACCACATTTTATATTATCTCATATCTACAGTATATCCCTTGGGACCGCTTTATCAAAATGTGGAATCTAGATCAAAATCTATCCAAATTTTGTAATCCTACATTTTCTGATCTAGATTGCTTTGACATGGACCATTTGGATCTCTGCTGTTTATATGAAATCATAAGCTATGTCAAGGTGATCCTTTGGATTTTTTATGTATTGAAACCATTTACTAATTGTCATTCTCATCTGATTTTGGAAAATAAACACTACTTTTTCCCGATAATATACATAGCTGTCAAGAACAGTGTCCGAATGAAGAAACAGAACATTCTGATAAGGATGTGCAGATCTTCCTTTTGAGGAGAATTAGAATGACCTTTACATTTTGGAGCAAAGTAATCTCAAAGCCCTCTTTTCAATTCATAACAAACCCGATTATAACATTTAATACCCAATATACTGCATGTTGAATCAGATTAAACACATTTTAAAGTTGACAAAAACCCAATTTAACAATATAACCATTCATCAAATGGAGAAATTTGAGTTTTGAGAACTGACTCTTGCACATCAAGATGAAATGCATGTCTCTAACATGCATGGAAAACACTTAACTATATGCTGTTGATTTCCTACAGCAGCAGTGCTTAATTAAGAAATGAAACAATACAGAGATTACAGCTTCAAAGACAGGTATATGAATCCACAATTTAAAAAAAGGTAGAGTCTTCCGCAGAGAGGCAGGAAACCTGGAGGGAGGATAATCTGGCATAACTTAAAGTCAGTGATGAAGTGCCTAATACTTTAATATTCTCTCTATGTTATGAAAGGGATGTGGGACCACAATATGCTTTAAAATATGACTAGCAGGTTTTATCATTTTGACTGACATTTATCTGTGTGCCTCTTCCAGAACTGCGATCGCAGTAAGAATTTTGTTTGGTTAAAATCAATTTTGTGAAGCGCTGTCTTGCATGATTCCCATTTTTTATGTTTGTCAAATTATTTTTTAGAATGCTTTCTCTTCCAGAAATGGATCATTTCACTTCTGTTATTTGTTAGGTGGTCAGAGAGCAACAGACAGTTCCAGACAGAATGGCATCTATACTGAGTATACTGTTCTGACTGGACCACCTATAAGGCAATAGAGGATTTAAGGACAACTAAAGAGGAAAGGGTCTAGAATCTCTGGAGTCAGGTCGACATCAAGGAAACATACAATCCTAAATAAAACCTGTTGAACATTAACATCCAATGCATTCTACCAGTCTTGATTCCAGCTCAATGCATTTGATCCTGTATATATAAAACTGAATCTCTGTTATACAGTACGTGCACATCCAACTTTTTTAGTAAGTAACAGCTCAATGATTCAAGAATCTCATCCAGCTGTTTCTTGAAAGAAGCCAGGGTCTCGGCTTCAACAAAACAGCGGAGTACTCTGTTCCAGACATCCCAAAAAACCTTTGTGTAAAAAATGCCTCCTGTTCTCAATTTTAAAAGCACTTATCCATATTGAGCTACTCCGTTCAATGTGGGGAAGTGATTGATTCACTGAACTGATGGATAGATACTGCCTTAGAGATAAATGGGTTTCATATTTATATTCCTAAAGAAATGCTTAACTTCTTGAGAAAAAATGATTTTTTTCCTTTTATTTCAACCTTTCTTAAAATTATTTTTTATAAAGCTCTACAATAAATCAAAGGCATAAAAGAACCAAAATGAAAACAGGAAAACTAAAATGACACACAACACTTGTGTGAGGTATGGTACCATCCAAATCTGTCATTACCCTAGCTCAGCTATAACTATAACACAAAAACAGGTTACTGTATATCTCGCCTGTTTGGTGAAATTAAACTACAAATCAACAGATATTATAAAGGAGAGAGTTGCACGACTGCAGGTACTGCTTGTATAAATAGAACATCTGTCAAACTGGTGGGTACTGCACATTGGTGGTGGTGGAGTGGAGTCCCTATTACTTGTAAAGCGCTTTGAGTGGAATGTCCTGAAAAGCATTATATAATTGTAAGTAATTATTATTACTATTAAAAAATATTTACTGTACATATAATTTAAAGGCAGACCAAAGAATCCGAAAATCTTCCTCCGCTGTAACGAATCAAGATGTGGTGAAGCTAGAAAACGTTAACAGTTGAGCAAAATTCATAAAAGACAATGTTGCCATTTTGGATCCTACAACATTGTCTTTAAGCAGACAGCTTAAAGACAATCTTAGACATTCTTACGATAAGATTGAAATGTCTTTCAATCCAAATTTTAATCCAAAGCAGACTGCTTAAGGGACTCAAGGGGAAAAAGCATGACACTAAAGTCTGTTTCTAAAGGCAGTAAAGGAATTACACTCTTTTATTGCCTGTTTTCTGTAGGAAGGTTACAAGGAAATTCTAGTCTGCTACAATACTACGAGCAAAGGCTTCTAGGCAAGCAAAGGCAATTTGTGAAGCTTCAATTTAAATTCAAAACAAGGAATCAAACGCTGAGTTGGATTTTATTCCAAAACAAACAAAAAAAACTGTCAGTGTCTGAAAACAAGGTCGAAACATTATAATTCATGTCCTTGGTTTGAGTTATTTATAGTTTATTATCTTATTAACAGTGGTGTCTATTCTCATCTGATTTGACACATAATCCAAGAATTTTGTTTCTGATCATTGTAAATCATTTCAGAAACAAAAATGCCAACACTCACTAAAACAGAAATAATGTGGCTTCCCACTTCATGCCCAAAACTCAGCAAAAAAAAAACAGGGTAGCACTGTAAAATGCATGAAGGCTTCCATCCTATTTTCCCATCAAAAACACTGCATTGACATTTCTGATTTACTTCTCTAAAACACAGACATTTACTTTGTCTGACATACAGTACAGTACGCCTGAAAAGCTGAACCTTGGTAGAACACAGAACACAGACTAGGGGCCCAAGAGATAAAAGCAGACCTCTAGTAAAGCTGGAAGTTTAAATTAATAAGCTTGCAAAATCACACCGGATCAGCATGTGGAGCGTAGCGGAAGAATAATGGGAATGCCGCGATTAGCAGTGGGCAGACAAAGGGTGACGTGGAATCAATGAGGATGATTGAAGATGGCACATTAGTAGTTCAAGTAGGGAGCTGCGTCAGCATGTGTAGGCTACAAAGGAACAGGTAACGGGCTTATTCCAGGCTGAAAAGAAAAAAAAGGAAACCCAACGTTTCGGCTGTGGAGCCTTCTTCACGTGTGAGAAAGACAGGGTAGACGGCAAAGATGAAATGGCACGGAAGACCAAAAGCTGGAAAAGTGGAGGAGGGAGAGGAGAGAGGCAGAGAGGTAACCTGCATGAGAATAGAGAAGATCACATGAAAATAAGTCGGTCCTTGAGAGAAGGGGGGAGGTGTGAACCGTGTTTCAGGATGAGTTTAGTTTCTGTTGTCTTTCTGCTGTGGAGTTGAGAAACCCTTCTTTGAGAACAGAGACAGAGAGATCAGTGTGATCACGGCCGTCTGAGGTGAAATGAGAAACTATGGGCTTTGAGAAATCTTTAATCTTCACAGCCTTAACATGATCGGCCCTTCAGAGCCCTAACATATATATTAGGATTAGCAGTCAAGTCTGAGAGTATCTCAGCAACTGTGCTTCCAATACTTGAAAAATCATGGAAGAACATGTGAAGATCCTAACCATGTGAAGAGCAGCAGAAGATAAATTTGTCATCAGCTGCTGCTACAATATATTAATGTTTTTCTTCAATATGCACCCCATCCATGATTAAGAACTGATGCAAGAAAAGAGTAGATTCTGATCCCATGTGTATCCAGGACATAGATTCTTCTCAGAGAGTAAAGCACAAATTTGCAACTGCCCTGTACAGCATAAGGTGTAAACACACCTGATCACTTTGTTTTGTATGACAAACCTTTTATAATAATGGGTTAAGTAACTCACCAAATCTAAGATTTGGTAGAACTTTGAAGAGACCCCATAATGTGTCAGGAGGTGTTCTAAAAGGTAGTTATGGATTCAACTACTGATAATCTAAACAGGTGGTCTTTAAATAAGGCAATAATTAAAACTTGGATTACCTCAAATTACACTGAAAGTTTACACTGACATCATATATGAAGTCTCTCTGTGGCAAATAAAACCATGCATGAACATATTCATAATATGTGGGTTAGATGATAACACAGTCACATCCATTTGAGCGCAAGATCTTTCTGCCTGAATGTTATCTTTAACACTGATAAGGAGTAATGCGCTAGTCAGCTGTTTTAATGTTCTAGTCAGCTAACACTGCATAAAAAGTTGAAAAACTCTTTCATCACAAGTGTACAGAAAATGTAAAATCTGGGGTTTTATCAGTATCTAATAAAGAGACTGAGCTCCGTAATAATATTGATTTAATTTAAAACAATTGTACAGTAAGAGCAAACAGTAAAAAACTGGATTGGTAGATGATAATAGAAAAAACATTTGAAAACCCACATTAATGATTAATGAGTTATTTTTCAATAACTG